TTAAAATTCTTGATTAGCACAAAAGTACTGTAAGCTATGATTAAATTTTTTTTTAAAAAGCCAAAAAGAAGAAAATAAATAAAAATCCCTTTATCCATACACTATTTTTTTTTGTAGTACCTGGGATTGAACTCAGGACCTTGCACTTGCCAGGCAAGCACTTATTCCACTGAGCTATCTCCCTGGCTCTCCATATACTCTTAAATTATCAAATATCTTTCAAAATCTGAGTCAGTTTTCATATGCACATACCCACACATCAATACGCATTTTCATACTTAATAAATATTTCACTTATGCAAAAATTTCAATAGCAGGTTTATTAAGATACAACACACATAGCAAACATTCATAAAGTGCATGATTTAGTGGTTTTTCATGCACTCAGAGTTGAAATATCCAATTCCAGAACATTTTCACCACTCTGAAAAAACAAACCCCATATCCATAAATAGTCATTTTCTGCACAGTATTTGGCCTTTTGTTCCTGGGTTTTTATTTTTTAAATGTACTATAATGTTTCCAATGTTCGTCCAGCTTGCATTATGTAGCAGATCTTCATTTTTCAAACTGGTGAGTGATATTCCATGGAACAGATACACTATGTTTTGTTTATTCATTTGTTAGTTGGTGAACATTGGGTTATTTTCACTGTTGTGGCCATTAATGAATAATGTTGCTATGAACATTCATGTACGAGGTTTTAGGTAGACATATGATTTTTAGTTCTCTGGAGTAAATACCTCTGATTGGATTTCTGGGTTTAATTTTTTAAGGGACTGCCAAAGTGTCTGCACGATTTTACATTCCCACTAGCATTGCATGAGAATTCTAATTTTTCCATCAATATGTATTTATTGCTTTTTCCTTCTTTCTTCTTTCTTTCTTTATTTGTTGTGTGGTTCAGACTCATAGTGATCCTCCTGTCTCAGCCTCCGCAGCGCTGCGGTTATATGTGTTCGCCACCACTCCTGGTTTTAGGGACTGCATGGCATGTGGTACTGGGGATTGAACACAGGTCTTTGCGCTTACCAGGCAGGCACTTAGACCACTGAGCTATCTCCCCAGCCCCTATCTTTTCTATTATAGTCATCCTAGTGGGTGGGAGTAGTATTTGATTTGCATCTCCTTTATGTCTAAGGATATTGAACATCTTTTTAATGTGCTTTTGATTATTTTGACACTTTTTTTAACAAGAAAAAGCTACTCAGACAATTTGTTCATCATTTAATTGTTTTTTAAAGGTTCATCTATAAGAGGTATTTTTTCTGACTATCAGCCTTTTGCCAGATAGATAACTGTACACTATCAGCCTTTTGCCAGATATATAACTGTACATTTTCTCTCTCACTGTTTAGGTTATCTTTTACTTTCATGTGGGGGTACCCTTTGGAATACAAAAGTTTAAAAATTTTATGAGGCTCAATTTTTTTGTTGTTATTATTGTTTGTGCTTTTTATATCTCAGATGATATTGCCAGCCCAAAGTCATACTCCTATGTTGTTCTTTAAGAACCTTCTTCTTCTTCTTCTTCTTCTTCTTCTTCTTCTTCTTCTTCTTCTTCTTCTTCTTCTTCTTCTTCTTCTTCTTCTTCTTCTTCTT